ACATTTAATTACAGATTCTTTCTACAATTCTTCAAATAACTGAAGAATATTTTTTTTTTTCAGTTTCTAAACGAGATTTTTAAAATCATTTCTCAGGTTTAACATTTAGAGTAGGTTTTTCGGATTCTGCTACAGTTCGATAAGAGTATCCTATTGCTGCTATCAGCATTGATATAATGAATGTATATATTGCTGCTTTTAAACCTCCACGGTTTGTTTCCATGCTTTCTTTCTTTAAATCAGACATCTTATCTTGCGCTTTTTTATGTCGTCTGAATGATTCCTTATAATGATGGCGCATCCACTCATCGAAATTATAAATTTCAAGTCTCGATGTAGCATATTCTATTGGGTCTCTCGGTTTATATTTTTTCACATCTTTCACCTGGCTCCGTTCATATTTAACATCCTGTTCTATTTTAAGCATCCTATCGTAATTTTTACGTGACTCGTATTTGCTAAGCACATCATATGAGTTTGAAATCTCTTGGAACATGGCTTTCGCAGAATCGCTTTTATTCTTGTCAGGGTGATACTTTAATGTTAAATCATAATACGCTGTTTTTATTTCACTATATGTAGCACCCGGAGATATTCCTAGAATTTCATAATGCGTTTTCTTTTTTGTGGACAGACTAACTTTCAGATGTAAGAACAACTGTTTCAACTTGAGTCTAATTACTTTATTTGTATTTATAATAAACATATCGTTATTTATATATCCAAATATATAATTTTATTCTTTACTCCTATGGAATCATCTTCATATACTACGAATTATAGTCATAATTCTGCTATAACTCTGTCTATGCTTTGTCATATTTTTTGACACAACACTCCCCAGTTGTGAAAGACAAAGTCGATATCACCTATATGAGAAAATTCTGGTATTAAATTAGATTGGTAAGATATATAATTGTATTCACTAACCAACGTAACCGTAATTTAATTCGAGGTAGCCTATACATATGTGTGTGTTACATTTATACCTCTGTGTTTATACTCTATTCAAGAGTTTCGTAATTTGCCAATATTTAAAATTAAATTATACATTAATGTTTAGATTGTTAGTTTTCTTTCAAATTTACATTGATCCTTCACTATTGTACCTGGCATGTCAACAATATTTACTATTAGAACTCTCAGAAGCCAAACATGGACACACCACGTACTGCCACGTACTGTGACTAGTTGTGAATGAAGCAGATTGAAAATTGGTATTATTTCTCGCCACTAGGTGATTATATCATATGCATTTCTTGGACCAAGGACAAGAACGTAGTATTGTGGTCGTAAAAACAAAATGAAAGTATTCTTTGCTGTCGAGTACGGTGTAAGAAAGAAAGGTGGTGTCCCACGGACAAGACCACCTACTCCACGATTATCTATAAGATCTTGACCTACCCTGTGCTGATCATGGATCTGAAGACTGTAAGTGGAAGCGATAGAAGAAGAAAAGAGAGATATTCATATAGGCCATTGAACCTGAAGGACGGTGCATGAAGTGGACGTACAGGCGAGCGGGTGGTGACGGTGGAAACTGGTGGAGACTAACTGAAAAACAGAAGTGGAAAACAGTTCTGTTTAAATTTAAATCATGGCTCACAAGCCCGCTCGCCCATAAGCAGTGATAGAGACATTGCTGTGATTGCCTGTGATGTCACTCGCGCATGCTTTTAGACGCCTAATTATAAAAAATCCCACGATGTGCCCATCACTGGTCCGTGGGCTTGACATTTCAGTATTGTAAGTTGTTTAGGTTAATTTACAGTGCACAGTTAAAAATATTACATAACTTATTTGAAATACATATTCTACGTATGGACGATTGAAACAATGCCGGAACGAACTGAAATTAGTAAGTGAATTAATTAAATTTTGTGATAATAATAATTTGTTGGAAGTTATTTAATAATGGAACGAAACTTTCAGATATCATTCCTGATAATTTAAGACATGAAGAAACTATCGTCCAAATTGCAGAGGCTCTTGATAATTTAGGTTCTGCTGTTAATTATATATTTGAGTCCATTGATAAGAGGCTTTTCGAAAATGGTCAAAGGTACATCCATGTTTTTTAAAGAATCATCTGTTAAAACTTTTTTGGCATTTATTAAGCATCTGAATAAGTGTCTGTCGTACACACAATAGCTTTGCTTTTGAACTCTTCCTATTCATTGTAAGAATTTACGAATAGTCATTTAATGATTCTGACAGTTTTTCATCATCTTATTGTACATTTAAATAGCACTTATAGCACGCTATAAAAAGCACTTCCTGCCAGTGCTACTTCATTGAGAAAGTACTTGACACATTTACTGCTTGCTAGATTCATACACTAAGTCTGAAAGCTTGTTCAGGATACTATAGAATATATCCCGCATCATTTTAAGTTCATCATCATGCAAAAAACTTATTCAAGTACCGAATATTAAATTTCTGTTATTAGAATAATAACAACTATTTTTTTCGATAGATTATCTAACGTTAAAAACAGAGCTACAAAAGTACAGAATCAATTGAAATATTTGCAAACCAATTTGAACTTGAAGGCTGTAAAGATGTATTCTGCTGCGAGATACCCAGCTAGTCACACGTATAAGGAATACCAAATGGCTATACCACCACAGTCTGATGACGTTAACAAAATACCTAAGGTTTATAAATGTTCTGTACCTATACAAGACGTCCCAGAAACGTATTTGTCTTCCAACTGCAAGACAGAAGATGGTCAGTACGTTGTAAACAACAATTTGCAAGAGAAACTGCAGTTTTATCACGTTCGATCGAAATTGAATAAAGAGACGTACGCTGGGAATAGCGATGCGCCGTTTCCTCTTCATTTGTCTTCTATCAATGCAATATTGTTCAAGAGTATGGATAATCCGTACACGATGCCTTCACATTCCATGAAACAAACGTCCCACAAGTTAAACGACAAAGAACAGATAGAAGACGCGCCAGATTCAATAGTACAACCGTGGTTATCGTCAGAAATTGACCCGTCTAGTAGTTACTTTTACACACCAACTTTAGGAGAGGTAAGTTATTTTCAAATATCAATGTCAGAGATTACATAAAGAACAGTAGATTTGCTAATATATAGAATTTATCACGCAGGTACCACAGATAAATGTACCGCCAACGCTTCCCGATTTACCCGGGATCGTAGATGACGAGAAATTTATACTGGATCTCAATTCTCAAAGTCCCATCGCGCCTTCTTCAGCAGTGACGACGCCTACTGTCCGGCTCGATCTTCCAACCCCGACGTCAACAACGGACGAGAAGGATGCCGGAGCGAAGCCCGAGCAAACCATTCCGAATCTACCTGGATTCGTAGACGATTTCCCAAAAGATTCCACTGAACCCGCCCCTCCGCCTCCTCCTCCACCTCCGCCGATCTTGCCTAACACGGTGACGAACCCAGCATCTACAAGTCCCACGACTGAATCGTTAGCTCCATCCTCTGTAGTTCCTTCGATGCCACCACCGCCACCTCCGCCGCCTCCGCCTCCACCGCCCCCAGCTCCGCCCGAGGCTAATGCAGAAACGAAAACCGCGAAAACAAAGAAACCTATCGTCGATCCAAGGAAAATGGCTCAGGTGGACGATCGGTCGACCTTAATGGAAGCGATTCGTAACGCCGGCGGTGTAGGGAGAGCAAAGCTGCGGCGCACGGTACTGACGGATGAAAAAGGGAACCGTTGGTCCTCTGCGTCCGTTGGAGGAGATTTAATGGCCGATTTGCACGCGAAATTGGCGCTCCGTAGAAAGGGAATCGCCGGATCTAGCGGTAGCGCTTTGGAGAGGATGTCCAGTTTGATTCCTCCACCACCTAAACCGAGCGAAGCCACAGCATCGGATAGAAACTCGGCCACCAGCGATTCTCAACCGGATACCGACGATTGGGACGAATAACACTGCTTAACGGTGTTGTACAAGTACAACCTTTATTCCCAGTCTTATTGCTGTTTCTTTTTGTTATTGTTTTTTATTATATAACTATTTACACGTATAACTGAATTCTGCTTAACATCTCAACAGTAATTATTTATATATTAAGTTTTGTTACATTTTTCAAATTCTTCCATGATTACCGTTAATTAGGAGTGCAATTTTCATAAGTACTAACTTACAGAATAATTTTGTCAAATTCTAATCACTTACCATCAATCTCTGAAAAGAAGTACGTCGGAAATATTCATGAGATTATTAGCATAAGGAAGATTATTTCAATTGTGTAATACCTTAAGAAATAGCCTTTCAATGACTTACAATATATAAATGTATATATTCATTTACATCTATACATACAAACACGAAAACACTAGTAAAAGAATAATAAATACTTTAATTATACTAAATGAGACTGTCAGCGATTCCTGATATTTCCAATTGGTTTTAGATATCTTATACGCACGTACAATCAAAAGAAATTAATAGACTTTTCCAACTTTTTTCAAAGTGGAATAGTCGTCATTGTCAACGACTTTTGGATCATTATAATAACAGCGTGTTCGTGTGGTTATCAGTTTTGATTTAACACTTGACCCCAGATTACTGGACCAAGCGTCTGTATACGTTTATAAATGTTAGTTGGACCGCGGAATTTTGCAGTTTTTGCTTGGCCGTTGACGTTTTTTCATAAGTCGAATTAACATGTATTTATAGAATAGTATTGTGCATTGTCGTGTTTCCAACTTATCACAAAACAAGGTGTTCCTTAATTTCCCGATAATACCGTCAATTTTGTTTTGCAACTTTTTAACAAAAGTGAACTATGAAACGTACTACGAAATGAGCGGAGACGCGCACATAGATGGAGACTTTTTTAAGAACGATGCATTCAATGATATTGTTCCATTATGTACGCATTAATTTGTTTTGTGTCTTCTCTAAAGTAGATTCTCGACTCTAGAAACGTTAGTAACTGTGCTTCGTAGCTTAGAGTGTAAACAAATTTTTTAATTGAGCTTGGCTTGATAAACAGAGTGGTAATCAGTGTCCATAAGAATTAAGGAATCTGTAGATTTTGGTATTCTATTCCAGGATTTCAATACCTTTGAAAAATGAAGGCAAAGTTTTGTGATAAAGTGAATGGGAACGCGTTATTCATCAGTGGACAATAGTTTTACAAGCAAGGTAAATCAGATCGGTCATAAATCGTCAATGTCGTTCAATCCCACCAGTCTTGATAAATTAATTAGTATTCATAAAAAATTAAGAAAATTGTAGATTTTTAGATTCTATCTAATGAAAATAAAGGCAGAATTTTTTGATAAATTAAATGGGGATGCGTTATTTGGCAGTGAATAGTAGATTTAAAAACAAGGTAAGTCGGGTCAATCGTAAATCATCGATGATGTTCGATACTATGTTGAAATCTCAAGAACAGGAAGGATCAAAGTTTAAAACGCGAGACGTTATAAAAGAAAGCACAGACGAGAATGACATAATATTAACGCGGCATAAAAATTGACGCACGCTTTTTGCACGTGATCCATACAAAAAATAACACAGACTAACGTTTAAAGTACTTTAATCGTTGATTACAGCAAATTTCTCGTCGTTTTACTTATTTTTAGTAACACGATTAATTCTCGACATGTCTTTTGTAATTACAGAAACCAATTTCAATAATTTGAAGTTTACAGAAAGGGCAGACTATATCCTAGTTTAAAAGAAAATTGAATAACAATTTATATATTTATACTGGTTAAGAAGACAGTAGATTTAATTAGTTGAACTTCAAAGAGAGGACAGATCATGTTCTATTTTCAAAAAAAACTGGAAAACAATATTTGTATTCGCTTAAACAAAGTTTAATAGATTTCAAATTAATTTCCTGCTTTATAAATAAAAACATTCGCGATTCTACAAAAAGTTATGAACTACGAACATTAGACGAGACAAAGAAAAGTTTTGAAAAACATAGAGAGGAAGCAAATATAATATACATAAAAGTGCACATTAGTTAGATAGTACATAAATGGAAATTTTGTTAATCTGACAGCGTTTCTGAAATTCGCATAAGAATGGCCAGCTCGACGGAAATACCGAATTATCAGGCGAATAATTCGAATGAAATAGAACTACCGATCGACATGAGATTCAACGAGGGCCACGTCGTTAGCATTGTAATTTACAGCGTTTTAATGATAATATCCGCAGCTGGGAACACGACGGTGTTGGTTTTAATCGCACACCGAAAACTTGTGTCCAAATCGAGGATACACACGATGTTGATGCACCTCGCGATCGCCGATCTGCTCGTGAGTTTCATTTCATTCAAGTATGTATATTCTAATTATATCTAACAACTGCGTTCATGTAACAATATGTCATAACTTTGATATAGCAATGACTGCGTAACCGATCATTTCTGAAACTCGGCAATACATTTGATTAAAGGTTTAGCTACACAGACATAACGGCACCGTAACGTAATGGGAACGTAGGTCTCCGTAGGTCGTAGGGCGTAATTTTCAGTGTCGTAGTTTCTAAGACAGGATATAGGACAAAGCGTGTAAAAGCAGGGAGCTCAGAGGTCCACGTTTGACACCGAATCGGCAAGCGGGGACTGCTTGCTGATCCACTACTCCGAGGGTTTTATGCACTTTCCTGACGACTCTGCGACAGCCTTCTCGCCAGTGCGAACCCAATATAGGCTTCGGCTGAAAGTCCAAGGCTTTTTTCTATACCCTGTAATAAAGACAACGCACTGAAAATTATGTCCTACGACCTACGGAGACCTACGTTCCCATTATGTTCCTATTACGATAAGGTGCCATTACGGTGCCGTTATGTCTGTGTAGCTAGACCTTAAGACGATTGAGTTGCAGGTAACGTTTTTAATGATGCCCCTCGAGATCGTTTGGGCGTTTACAGTTTCTTGGAAAGCGGGGGACGCAATGTGCCGGATAATGGCTTTCTTCAGGGTTTTCGGTCTGTACTTGTCGTCCTTCGTTCTGGTATGCATAAGCATGGACAGGTCAGTAATCCTTCAGAAGCTTATCCCTTCCCTCTATTCAATTTCTTTTATATTGCATACTAATATTCGTTTTCGTGAAGAAATAAAAAATTTGTCGATAAAAATGTAGAAATTAATTTTTAGGCATTTGTATAAGAATCATTTTTAAGCAAAAATCAATCCGATATTTTATATTGTATAAAAACAATGAAGATATTTGTTTTACTCCGCTTCTCCACTTTAAATTAGCTTGATAATCAATTATCCTAAGCAGTACATTCCAAACTTGATATTTAAAATATGTTTAATGACATGTAATGAAAAACTTTTCAGATATTATGCAGTAATAAGACCACTTCAGTTGTGGGATGTTGACAAACGAGGAAAAATTATGTTGTGCCTAGCCTGGTTAGGATCCGTCGTTTGCTCAATGCCTCAAGTAATACATCATTCATCGTTTACAATTGTTTCAATCTCGGCAATGTTTTACCAATCACTTGTAACACTTGTTCTTATTAGATCATAGTATTTCATCTGGAAACTCATCCAAATATCACCTGGTATTCCCAGTGTGTCACGTTCAACACGTTCCCAACATACACCCACGAGATAACTTATTCCCTTTTCGGAATGATCATGATGTATTGGTTCCCTCTTATCGTAATAATATACACTTACTCTAGCATTCTGTTAGAGATCTGCAGGAGATCGAGGAAAAGCGGTGACGGTACGTTGAAATGTCAAGGTGCTCTTCTTTGTTCAGTAAAAGTAATTTTTCTAATTTGCAATTAAAATCATTCGACTGAACATTTTTCTACGTTCTGACGATTCTAACATAGTTGTTTTTAAGAAGAATGGTGATTAATTTCAGATAAAATACGTCGCTCTTCTATGGGCTTTCTTACGCGTGCGAGGATACGCACTTTAAAGATGACCGTGATTATAGTTGCCGTCTTTTTCATTTGTTGGACACCTTATTATGTTATGAGCCTCTGGTAACTATTACAAGTTCAATTGTACATTATTATATTTTTCTAAGCAGTTTGCATGTTTGCGATCCATTGTGTAAAGTAGATTATCCTTGCCAATCCTTTTCTTTGTCTCTCTTGTTGTTAAGAATAAACGGCTCCTGCATTAGGGTACCGTCATTTTTAATTTTCCCATAAAATAGACGTGAATGTACAGGTACTGGATCGATCGACAATCGGCGTATAGAGTCGATCAACGAATTCAGAAGGGTCTCTTTCTGTTCGCGTGCACGAATTCTTGTATGAATCCAATCGTCTATGGTGCGTTTAATATTCGGGACCGTAACAAGGTAAACTGTATCTTCCTTTCATTTAACATATATAAAATCCTTCCAGACATGTGAATAATGAAATATTTCAGAAGTCCGTAAGACCGACTACCATAGAAACTCGTGTCACCCCATTATCGTTGTCGTTAAAACTTCTCGATTGATTCTTGATTAAATACCACCATAGTGTATATTAATCGTAGCTGTAAGTTAGTCTAATTGTTAATATCAAATTTGACTGTGATCGGATGGGCCACGTGCAAGGAATTGATTGATGGGATAAAGTTTTTCAGCCCCCATCGTGGCTGCTCATTCATAATTACTAAAGATTTTATTAAAGGTAGAATGTACTTTAGTTTTATCGTATATCATTAATATTAAAAGAAGTTTCCTTCCAGTATTAGGACAACAAAA